ACGGCTGCTACGAGGCTCTGTCCGGGGGCAGCACCTCGGAGGGGTTCGAGGACTTCACGGGCGGCGTGACGGAGATGTACGAGCTGAGGAAGCCGCCCTCCGACCTCTTCACCATCGTCTCCAAGGCCGTGGAGCGGGGCTCCCTGCTGGGCTGCTCCATCGACGTGAGTGGGGGGCCGGGGCGGCGGTCCGGGCAGTACCTGCTCGGGGGGACCCCACTGCCCGCAGCCGCGTCGGCAGGTTTTCCCAGTAAGAGCCGCCGCCCCGCTGGGCTCCGGACCCGGCTAGCGGACGTCTCCCCGGGGAGACAGGACAGAGGGCATTGAAGTGAAAAACACTGTTCCCCTCCTTCCTGAGAGAGGCCTCCTGTCTGTGTGTGCCCTTGTGGGTAATGAGTAGCTGATCGATCATCCGTTTCTTCAGATCGATCGTTGTTTCTTGGGAGGAGCTGGGGTATCGGCTCACAACCACAGGGCTTGTTCCCCCCTCCCACCTCCCCTTAGTGTAAAGAGACGCCCGTCTTGATGCGCCTGTCTGTAATTACACAGTTACCGGTCCGCGGGAGTAATCGGCGACGCTATTTGTAGGGTCGTTGTCGCGGGAACGTTCGCCCTGCGTTGCCGGGAGACGGTAACCGTGCCGCCGTGTCTTCCCTGTCGCCAGATCACCAGCAACCTGGACATGGAGGCCGTGACCTTTAAGAAGCTGGTGAAGGGCCACGCCTACTCCGTGACGGGCGTGGAGGAGGTGAGGGCTCGGCCAATCCGCTTACACTTCCTGTATAAGCCATACCCCTTCCTCTTTCTCCCTCTCTCCTTCCTCCTGTGCCTCACCGTCTCCCTAACCAGCAGCACACTGAGCCAAGTCAGGCTGTGAACCAGAGCCAGGGGCCGATGTGCAGCTGATTCTTGAGAGAAACCAAGGTATCGGCTTCAACAGCGGGGCTGGGCTACCTGTTCCACTCCCCCACCACCCTCGGTGTCCAGTAGCTCGTGCCCTCTGGTTTGTGTCCCACTGCTCATTCTGAAGGGATCGGGGGCTCCTGTCCGACAGCGGGGAGACAGGGGTCTCTAGGCCGGTGTTCTGCCCTCTGGGGTGTCCTCGCTCTGGAATGGGAGCCCCCACACTCATCTGCTCTCCCCCTCTCCTGTCCGGTACCGTCCCGCAGGTGGTGTGCAGGGGCCTGCCCACCAAGCTGGTCCGGATCCGGAACCCCTGGGGAGAGGTGGAGTGGACCGGAGCCTGGAGTGACAAGTGAGGGAGGGGGGAGG